AGAGGTTTCCAGGCAGAGCTGGCAAGGAAGCAGGCCAAGGAGAGCTGGGAAGGCAGTGACCAGTCAGAGCAGATGACTGCAGCAGGCTCAGGTGAGCTCTCAATGCTGAGACAGGTGTGTTGGCTGCCTGGGCATCTGGGGCTGGCCCAGGCCTAGAGCTACTTCCGCCAGTGGGGGTGGGGGACTTCACTCTCCTCTGCAGCCACCACCCCTTCTCCTCCAGCCCAGACACCCTCAAGTTGGGGGTGAGGCAGGACCTCTTCCCTTATTGCCTCAAGCTGAGCTCCCCTGGCCTTCAGTCAGCCACACATATCACAAACATCTGGGTTGTGCCCTGGCTATGGGTGCTGATTTGGATGCGCAAGACAAGGCGGGAGCCCCACTGCTGGTCATGTTCTCACCATTTCATGAGGATTTGCTGTGGTAGGAACAGCAGTCCTCAGGAGCAGTCAACAGGATCCATGGACTGGCCAGGGGCCTACCAGGGTCATCAGAGGCACAGACATTGAGGGTAGGGGGAGCTGGGGACAAAGGGGGAGGTGGATGATAGGTAGGGCAAGGGTGGGCTGCCAGGAGTGCCGCAGTGCATCGGCCACAGGTGCTCCAACTGGCGAGCGCTGAAGTTGGGCTCCAGGACATGGTGGGTGGGCAACATGTGGGTCAAATACCGCCACCAGACAGGAGGATACAGGTTGCTCCTGTAGGAAGTGCACGGTCATTTCCAGGATGTCCACCTTCTAGCTTGTAGCACCTGGAGCTCTCTGTCCAGCAGGATGAGCCCCTTGAGCTGCCTCAGGCTCTCGCTGATGCACTTCTCCAGCATCAGCTCCAGGCTGGTGCGAGGGAGACCCATGTGGAGCAGAGATCGAGACCCTGAGGAAGTCCTCTGAGTACGCTGCCTGAACAGGGACCAGTGGGCAAGGAAGAGGCTTCTTGAATGGCTAAATGAGGAGCTTGGCAAATCCTCTCCCCAAAAAGCAATTACAAAAGTGGACAAAAATGTCCGAACAGTTAAAGACTTGAAATTGACCAAAGTATTACAACACATTGAGTAGTGCTTATTCAGGAAAGTCTACTGGATCTCAGTGAGAATGGTGAGAATCTGTTTTGTTTTAACCTGGAGCTTTTCCTGTCCCTCCTCCTCCTCCAGCTCCTAGACACAGACCTATCACCTGGAATGAGCAGGCGCAAAGGATAAGCACCTCTTCTGCAGGAGGTGCCTGACAAAGTGAGGAATGCACTTTGAATGGAACTGTGGGCCTGGAGGCTGCGGTGGGCTCAGGAGTGGGTCTCAGCCCATCCTCCGCACCTTCTTAGCACAGTCCCCACCCCCTGTTTGCCAGCATCCCTGCTCCTGCCACTGCTCCCGTACAACATGGAGCAATTGGGCTGGTGCCAGCAGTGGGTGTGAGCAGGGCAGGCGCTGTTAGCAGTTGCAAGTGGTCGCTGCTGCCCTGATTATCCCTCAGGATCAGGGGGAGGTGGAGAAGCCCTCAGGGGCCTTCGGGGCTGGCAGTCACCACTCATACCCGCCGACAGTGCCTAGCGTTCCAGACCAGCGCTGAGCATTGGCAGCAGGTGTGAGTGGTGGCTCTGGTGCCAGCTGCAGGTGTGAGCAGGGCCAGCCCCAGCAGTAGGTGCAAGCAGTGGCTCCAGTACTGGCAGCGTGTGCAAGTGGGGATATCCCTGGCAGTGTGTACGACAGGCAGCTGGCGGCCCCGATCACCCCTCAGGAGCAGGGAGAGTTAGAGAAGCCCTGAGGGGTGATCAGGGCCAGCAGCCACCACTCACACTGCTAACAGCGCTGAGTGATCAGGGCTGGTGCTGGGCATGGGTAGCAGGTGCAAGCAGGCCAGCACTGGCAGCAGGTGCAAGTGCCTGGCGGACCTCGGCACACAGAAGCATAGAATTTTCAGTAACCACCAGAGGCTCCCCAATGACAGGGACCAGGGTCCCACCTTGGTCTGGTACCCCTGCTCACCTGTTCCACCAACCCACCACAGCCAATGCCTGCCATGTTCTGTGTTCTGCCGTCTGCTGCCAACACCATGCGCTAATGAGCATAGTGACTGCTTGTTTGATTGTTCCACCACCATTTGGTCTATTTCAGTGGTCGGCAAACTCATTAGTCAACAGAGCCAAATATCAACATTACAACAATAGAAGTTTCTTTTGAGAGCCACAATTTTTAAACTTAAACTTCTTCTAACGCCATTTCTTCAAAATAGACTCACCCAGGCCGTGGCATTTTGTGGAAGAGCCACACTCAAAGGGCCAAAGAGTCACATGTGGCTCGTGAGCCATAGTTTGCCAACCATGGGTCTATTTGCATATTAGGGTATTATATAAAGAGATTATTGATAATATTGCAGATATCTCCCAACCCTCCTTTTCCCCTCTCTCCCTACCCGTACCCTTCCCCCTGCCCCCAACTATGCATATAAGTATGTAAATTCTTTGGTTGGTCTCTTCTCATTCTCCCAACCCCACATCGAGGTATGTCAGTCTGTTCCATACCTCCCTGCTTCAGATCTTATTTTGTTGTTCAATTCATTTGTTCATTAGATTCCACAAGTCAGTGAGATCATGTGATCTTTATCTTTTTCCATTTGCATAATATTTTCCAGGTCTAATAACATTTTTAAAAATTTAATGAAGGCAAAATACATTCCTAGAGAACCAGAGACAGATTTTTTTGCTGGGTAACCTGGTTTACAAAAAGTATTCAAAGACTTTTTAGAGTTTTACTTTAAAGATTTTATTCTTTTCAGGGCATGTTCTTAGGTACATACAGGTCCTGGATTATAACTTTCTGATATACTGTTCATGTTCTGTAGTAATGACGTACCTTTATTAGTTAGAGACATCCATTATTAATGGATATCTTGGTTGTTTCTAATGTTTTGCTGTTACACAAAATGCTGCCATGCATGTTCTAGTAATACTCTGATACATAATGGTGCTAATATGTTTTATTGAGTTGTATACTTGAAAGCTGTATGATTTTGTGAACCAATCTCACCCCAATAAATTAAATTTAAAAAACACACACAGGCCATCAAAAAGCTGGAATGCTGTTGTCATTTTATGTCATAATGTCAACATGATATGTCAACAATTATCCTGTGGTCAGGAAAGAAAGTAAATGTGGTCAAGTATTATCAACTGGTGAGTCTAAGTGAAGGCTGTAGGTTTGAAATGTGAAAATTGTTCCTGTGAAAAAGGGCACTAACATTTATTATCTTTATGTAAGAGGGGAACAGAGTTCTGGTGAGCTGGAGATGGGTTTAAGTCTATTGCATTTCACAAAAATAATTTTTACTTTTAAAATTTTTTTATTTATTCCCTTTTAATCCTCACCCGAGGATATTTTTTTTTTCCATTGCTTTTTACAGAAAGAAGGCAAAAAGGCAGGAAGGGAGGGAGAAAGGGAGGGAGAGGGAGATAAACATCTTTATGAGAGAGACACATGGGTTGGCTGCCTCCCGCCTGAGCCCTGACTGGGGCCTGAAATTGAATATGCAACCCAGGTACGTGCCCTTGGTCGGGAATCGAACCCACCACCCTTTGGTGCACTGGCCGGCGCTCTAACCACTGAGCACACTGGCCAGAGCAACAATTTTTACTTTTTAAGGTCATGTTTCCAACTTTATTTTTACATTTCAAACCTACAGTGTCTGTTTCAATCACTCTAAATATAATTTAAGTTATATGTAGCATGAAAAGATTTTCCCCAAAAATGTTTCAATGTCAATGTTTCTTTACAATCATTTTGTTCTAAGGGCAAAGAAAGGCTTGACTTGCTCTAGGTCCTACAGGCAGGAATAGCAGGTGGGGAATCCCTGCCTCTGGATTCTCCTCCAGGCTCAGGCCTGGACTTGCTGGGTTAAATGCTATTATTTAAAAAATCAAACTTGGGAAATACATGCATTCAGTAACTTAAATGCAAAAAAAAAAAAAAAGTTAATGAAAGCTTACATATATAAAAAAAATGTATAGAAACTATTTCTAAATACAAAGTAGCCAATCTTGGACAGAGGACTTCTGCAACCCTCTGTTTGATGCTTCTGTTAAATGAGGTGGTTAAACAGTGTGTTGTCAATTTCTGCTTGAACCCCAGTTGTGCACTGGGAGCCACAGAGCTCCAATTATCAAGGGTAAATTTTTGAAAAACTGTCTCTGTTTAAAACTTTTTACATGCTCACGTTCATTCCCATTCCCAACAGTCAAAGCCAAACTCCCCTTGTAAAAAAATAAAAACCCAGGGCGATAGATCACAAGGTTGCACTCCCCTTTTACAGGGCAGAACCATAATCCACTCTTGCACTCCCGCTTCCAAGGCTCTGGCTTTTCTTAGTTCTTTCTTTCTTTTCTTTTCATTTCTTGGTGTGTTTTGGGGGCCTGGGTGGTGGGGGATATTGTGAGTGATAGCACATTCTTTAACCAAGAGCAAACATTCCTTGGGTTGACTAGTGGGGGGAATATTTCAATTCACGTTGTTTCTACAAAGTGATGCTCAACAAGTTTGTTTTGAGGTTGTCAGGTTTCCTAATTAGTTAATTTTCAAACATCCACGGAAATAAAAACAGCTGTCAGTTCAGATAACAGAAAAATGACAGATTCTGTCATCGCGGGTAACCATCCAGCAGCCTTGCAGGCTCTGGCTTTTAGAGACAAAGTGCTTTTATTTTTCTTCATTTTTTTATTAAGGTATTATATGTGTACATATCTTTCCATTGCCCCCCACATACACACCCATACATGCCCTCCCTCACCAGAGTTTTGCGTCCATTGGATATGCATGTATGCTTTTTATTCCCTATGTCTCCAGAACCCGCCAAATCCCACTAAGCCCCGCCCCCAGCCACACAACGGTCCCCAGCGGCTCCGCGCACGCACGGCCCAGGTTCCCACGCTCGGCCACTTCCGCAATCTCCGGGGATTCCGCTAGCCCCGCCCCTCTCCTCTGCACCGCTCCCTTTGCTTCCGCTTCGGACAGCCCCGCCCCGCCCGGCTGTTTGATTGGCCCGCGCCCTGTTCGTACGTCATTCAGCCGCGCCACCCGGAAGCCATGGTTCCTACCAACCTTTCTTATGGCCGGCGGCTCTAAGGTGAGGGCTGCGTTGGGGTGCCCCTGCGTGGCGGGCCCCCGAGTTGGAAGGGGAAGAAGGCGGACGCCCCCCCCCCGACCCCCGACCCCCAGCGTTGGCCGGATGTGCCCGCTCCCCACGTGGAGAGGGGGCGGATGTGCTGTGTCTGCGGACACACCGGGTGTACAACGTGGTCTGCTCCCCCTGTTCCTCAGGAGCCCATCATGGCGACGCCCCCCAAGCGGCGGGCCCTGGAAGACACGGGGGAGAAAGTGCTGCGCTACGAAGCCTTCGTCTCGGACGTGCTGCAGCGGGACCTGCGGTGAGTGGCAGGGGGCGGGGCGTGGGCACTTGCCACGTGGTGAGCTGGGCGGTAGGAGTCAGGGCCTCGCCTTCTGATTGGTGGGCAGGGTTTTTGGAGCCCGGCCCTGTGCGCCATTCAAAAGGGAAGGAGGGGCGACAGATGGGGTGCTACTTGCCTGGGACTTGGCCTCTTAAAAAGAGGATGTGTCCGCGCACGCGCGGCCTTCTATGTCGCTGAACAGTTTAAGAGCTGGATTTCCTAGGCCAGAGTTCTCGGGTTCGAAACCAGTTTGGGCCATTTAGCCATCAGTGTGAACACGTGCCTCGCCTGGCCTTTATGGTCCTCAGTTTGCTCATCTGTGAAATGGGTTAGTTGATGGATCCTTCCATTTTACTCTTGTCCCATCAGTGGTTTTGAGCAGTTCTTGTAAAGGATTTAATGTGGATGCTAGAGGTTCAATGAGTATGAAAAATTATTATTACAATCTGAGCAGAAAATAGAGTGTTCAGAACTAGTATTAAGAGCACCTAGCCCCACCGGTGTGGTTCAGTGGTTCAGTGTGGACCTATGAACCGAGAGGTCGCGATTTCCAATTCCCCCTCAGGGCACATGCCTGGGTTTTGGGCTCAATCCTGGGAGGCAGCCTATCAATGATTCTCATCATTGATATTTCTCTCTCTCCCTCACCTAACCTCCCTGAAATCAATAAACAATTTTTTAAAAGAGCATCCTAAAAGGGATGGAGGATTTTTCTAGGGTGAGAATAAGACATTCTGGTTGGAGGAAGACATTGGGAGTGATATAATAATACTAATAAATAATAGCCAACACATATATGGAGCTTACGATTTGACAGGCATTATTCTAAGTACTTTATAGTAAACACTCATTGAATCCATCTAATGACTCTAGGAGGTAATACTTGTCCTCCCTGTTTTGTAGAGGGGGAAATTGAACCCCAAAGGGGTTATTGACTTGCCAAAGTCACGCAGCTAGTAAAAGGGGAGCCTGGATTCATACCCGGGCAATCTGACCCAGAGTCCAAATCTTAACTTCTGCACTAAAGGCCCTCTTGAGGGTCTCAGAGGGTCATAATATGAGGTATTCCAAGGACAGGGCTTCCTGTTGGTCACCATTTTCCTCTTGTCCCATCATGTCCCATCAGAAAGGTACTGGACCATCGTGACAAGGTATATGAGCAGCTGTCCAAATACCTTCAACTGAGAAATGTGATTGAGCGTCTCCAGGTAAAGATGCCAAGGTTGGGTACCTTCTTTTGGGGGGCAAGGGAGGCGATAGCCCAAACCAAACCCTGTCACGTGGCCTAAAAGTTGACCCCCTAACCCCTACCTCTTTTTCTCTGGCCCCACAGGAGGCCACACACTCGGAGTTATGCATGCAGGTGGATTTGGGCTGTAATTTCTTCGTTGACACAGTTGTGTGAGTGTCTTCCCGCCCCTTTAAGCTCACAGGGTTCAGTCCCTTTTCTTCGTTCAACGGATTTTTTGTTTTGTTTAGTATTTGCTATGTACCAGACACTGTGCCAGGCGCTGGAGATGTGACAGTGCATAAAATAGGACAAAATTCCTGCCTTCCCAGAGCTGCAATGGGGGAAGGGAAGGAGGGGAGGGGAGTAAAAAAGTCTTAAATACACGGTGTGGTATGCCAAACCGGGATAAGAACTTGCTCTGCTTCCTCTAACCACTGTTTCCCCAGCTCAGACACCTCCCGGATCTACGTGGCCCTGGGATATGGCTTTTTCCTGGAGTTGACACTGGCAGAAGCTCTCAAGTTTATTGACCGTAAGAGCAACCTCCTCACCGAGTAAGTCTATTCCATGAGGATAGTGTCTTAAGAACACCACCATTTGCAACACCTCTCCTTTTCCCCGTGGCTTCCTGGGACACTTAGGGACCCATCTCCCAGCCGCCTCAGGAGTAGGGCTGAAGAAAGGGCGGATGCAAAGCTCAGCCCTTCATAGCACATGTAGCACATGTTAAGCACTCGATAACGGTCTTTGTCTTTTTCGTTCACACAAACACGTCTTGGGCAGTGCTGTGTGGCAGACTCTGTGCTTGGTGGTAGGGAGGCAGCAGTGAATAAGACAGAGGGCTTCTTGAAGGCTTACATTCTAGTGAACCTATACTGTTGTACATCACTAACAACAAAACAAGTTACCTCTGCCGAAGCCGGTGTGGCTCAGTGGATAGAGCGTCGGCCTGTGGACTGAAGGGTCCCAGGTTCGATTCCGGTCAAGGGCATGTACCTTGGTTGTGGGCATATCTCCAGTGGGGGGTGTGCAGGAGGCAGCTGATTGATGTTTCTCTCTCTCATCGATGTTTCTAACCCTCTATCTCTCCCTTCCTCTCTGTAAAAAATCAATAAAATATATATAAAAAAAGTTACCTCTGACTTCACCTCCTGATACTATCTTTAAGATCATTTATTGATTGATTGATTGATTGATTGATTGATTTCAGAGAGGAAGGGAGAGAGAGATAGAAACATCAATGGTGAGAGAGAATCATAGATCGGCTGCCTCCTGCATACAATCTGCTGGGGATCCAGTCACAACCCGGGCCTGTGCCCTGACCTGGAACTGAACCATGACCTCCTGGTTTATAGGTCAATGCCACACCGGCAGTGGCTGTTCTCTGTCTGCAGTACTTCTTCCCCAGGTGCCTGCATGGCTTCTTTCTCCTTACTCAGTGTAAGTCTTGCTTAAATGTCACTTCCTCACCCTAGCTGGTGTGGCTCAGTGGATAGAGCATCGGCCTGAGGACTGAAGGGTCCCAGGTTCGATTCTGGTCAAGGGCACATGCCCCAGTTTCGGGCTCAATCTCCAGTGGGGGGACATGCAGGAAGCAGCCAATCAATGATTCTCTCTCATCATTGATGTTTCTGCCTCTCCCTCTCCCTCTCTGAAATCAATAAATATATATATATTCTTTAAATGTTACTTCCTCAAAGAGGTCTTCTGTAACCTAACTTTAAAGTTGCAACCCCTGGCACTCCTGATTCTCTTCCCTCACTCTACTTTTTCTTTCTCCCTGTTACTTATGATCCCCTAATGTTTACTGTGCAATTTACTTCTTCCTAATGTTCATTGCCTCCTCCCATTGGGATATAAGATTTATAAAAGTAGATGTTTTGTCTCTGCCCCCAGTGACTAGAATAGTACAGAGCTTATAGTGGGCAGTCTGTTTGCTGAATGAATCTAAAAGTGAATGTTGGTAACGGGTTAAAGTGGGGATTGCAGCAGATCTCTGTTGGTGGTGATGGGGAGGTAACGTGGGAAGAAGTATGGGCTCCGGTTGCTTTTAAGGTTTTGTGCAGGGAAGGGGAATTGGGAGTGTGGGTGAGAGGTTTGAAATGTAGCTAGGGAAAGCCGCCCCGGAGGAAGTGACATTTAAGAGATTTGGTTGAAGGAACAAGGAAGGGGGCTGTCCAGGGAACAACATTCCTGGCAAGGGAACCGGTGCGCCTGCTCTGTTGGAGGAGTTGCCAGGAGAGGTGAGCATGGCTCAGGTGGAGTGAGTGAAGGGACCCTGAGCAATATACTTACATTAACAACACCTCGCTGAAGTGACTAGCACTGATCTGAAATGCCCTCTGGGTTATAGTGATCTTTATTCCTATCAATACATTCACTTCTTCCAGAGTTGCCTCCCTTCGGGTTTCAGTACATCTCTTTTCAAACCTTTCCAGGGTCTCAGTGTTAGACAGAATAGAGCCTCAGACCTGCTGAGATTTCTAAACCTTAGTGAGCAGGCCAGTTGGTGAAGAGTGTATTTGAGGGGCCTGCTCTCACAGGCCAACACAATTCTGAACTGGTGGTCATGTAGACCAAGACCAGTTTCTGGAACAAAGCTCTCCTTGTTATGTCACAGGATTTAGGAGCCTTTCAAATAGATTTTAAATTTAGGAGACATGATGTCTTTAAGTTATCAGTGCCTGCTCCCTTGTCTGGTCTTTTTGATATATTAGCGTGGTCCTTTATTTTGATGAGAAATCTGGTTGAATCTCTCTAATTATAATTAGTGGGAATCCCCAGAAGTTTATTCTTTCTAGAAGATGAGGATTTGAGTCTGTGTAGCTTGCTCTCTTTAAAATGCGTTGTTTCTTATGGCAAACTTTCAACTTTCTTTCAGGTTATTTTATGTAGCAAAAATGTCCTATCAGTCCTACCTGTTCTTAGTATATTTCTTTGTTTGGGGAGTGGGAGGATCAGGTCTCTTTGTGTATTCTTTCCTGATTACACACAGAATACACATTCACACCCACAAACAGACAAGTCATTATAGAAGGAGCAGAATAACCATATGACTCTTAACACTGCCTTACATGTTAAACCAGTAGCAATAAATTAAAAATATCCCGTTTGGGTTACAACTAGCATTTGATGGCTCTTCTTGTTTTCTTAAGTGTTGAACTCATAGCCTCTCATAGATTACGTATTTTCTGGCGTATAAGATGACCCCCTAATTTTACAGTTAAAACATGGGTTTAGGCCTATATTCGCTGTATAAGACTACCCCCCACTTCAAAGAAAAGACTTACTTTGCCATCAAGATCTGCAGGTAATTTTTGTGCAATTTTGGTCTTTTGCCCCCGATTGTGCCATTAATTCTTTTCTTTGATGTTCAAATTGTCCTGATCAAGGGATCAAGCTGATCAATTTCATTCCTCTTCTTTTATCACTACCCTAGATTTTCTTGAAAGCATTCTTGCTTTCTGGCCACAACACCCTCTATTTATGTCTTGTCCATAAGCATCATTTGAGGACTTCACGTTCCTTTGAGGAAAATAGTCATTCACTTATTCCTTCAATATACATTGGGTGCTTACCACTGGGGATACAGCAGGGAACAAAGCAGACCAAATCTCCACCAAATCTTACATGGTTTACATTCTAGTCAGGGGAGACAGACGAATACATGTATATGATGTATTATGTCACAAACCATTCTACAGAGAACAGCGTGGAATGCAGAAAAGAAAAACTGTAGTTACAATTTTAAATAGAATGCTTGATTGGATGTGGGGTGTGAATGAAAGAGCAGTTCAGGTTGTGGGCTGAAAAATCTTTTTTGAGGATGAAAAAGAAAAACCGAAAGGATGGAGTTGCCATTATCTGAGATGGAGAAGACAGGGGTAGGGAGCAGATTTAGAGGGGAAGATCTGGAGTTCCATCTAGGATCTGTTGAGTGGGAGGTGCTTGTTAAACATTGAGGTTGAGTTTTTGATGATGTAGTTAAAAATCCCAAGGCTGGAGCTCAGGAGAGAGGTCTGGACTGAAGATATATATTTGGGAGATACTGATATGTAATTAGGTTTATACTGATTTTTTCTAATTTATCATCCTGTGTTGTTGCCTTCTCCTTTCTTCCAGTATTTAGTTTCCCTAAAACTGACTCCTGCATTTACAGATAGCTCAGCACAATGAGGTCCGCATTCCTTATCATGATATCAAGACCCTGCATGATCTAGCCCCTTACTTTTTCTTGGACTCAATTTTCTTCCATCATTCACTTAATTTTCTAATGCTCTCGCCTGGCTGCTCCTCAGAAAGCTTTTTCCTGCTGGCTGGTCTTTGTGGAGAAGACCTTCCTACTGTTTAACTCTTACTCATTCTGCATTCTTCAGAAAGGCCTCCTGGGACCCTTGGCCATTGAGGATTCTGTTGAGTGAGAGTGAACCCAGTTGGCTTATGGAAGGAATGCACTGAGTTTGTATAACTCAGCATCCAGGGCCAAAGTGGTTTCAGGCAACTCCAGTTTCCCTCCAGTTAGGCCTTTCTTGATCCTTTCTATGACACCCAACATCTAACCCTTTGGTAAATCCTGTTGACTTTACCTTCAAAATAAATCCGAAATCCAATTATTTCTCATCACCTCAACTGCTGCTACTGAGGCCTGAGTCCATGTCTCACATGGACTATTGTAGTAGCTTCCTCGCTGGGCTTCCTGCTTCCATACCAGCTCTGCTCATCCCCAGTCGGTTCTCCGTAGAGCAGCCAGATGGATCCTCTAAAACCCTAGTCAGCCCCTAACTGGTTTGGCTCAGTGGATAGAGCGTCAGCCTGTAGACTGAAGGGTCCCAAGTTCGTCCGGTCAAGGGCATGTACCTTGGTTGCGGGCACATCCCCTACTGATTGATGTTTCTCTCTCATCGATGTTTCTCTCTCATCGATGTTTCTAACTCTCTATCCCTCTCCCTTCCTCTCTGTAAAAAATCAATAAAAATATATTTTAAAAAATAAAACCCTAGTCAGTTCACATTCCTGCTATGATCAAATCCCACTTACAGTACAAGCCCGAGTCCTTAACCATGACCTTGTAGGTTTTACGTATCTGCCTCCCGCTCTGTGACCTCACTGCCTGCAATCCGCCTTATTCTCCAGCCTCACTGCCTCTGTTGTGCTTCAAGCCTTTGCATTTGCTGCCCCTTGTGTCTATAACATTAACCCTCCCTATATCCAGATGATTCAGTTCTTCAAGTCTTGATTCAAATGCTTCTCAGTGAGGCCATCCCTAAGCACTCTGATTAGAATTGCAGCCCCCCACCTCCTGTACTCCTTCTTCCCTCTTATTGTGTAATTGTTTCCATCATCCTTAGAACCGTCTGACATAGTCTGTATTTCACTCCATCAGTTGTCCCTCCCAACGAGAACTTGAGCGTCATGAGGCTGAAGTTTTTGTTGGTCGTGTTTTCTGCTGTCTCCCTGGTACCTCACACCACCTGGCATCGAGTAGGGATTCAGTAATTCATTCATTCTTGGAGTCAGTGCAGCTCAGATGATGTCCAGGCGTTTCTGGAGAGGAGTAGGTCCGATGGCGGGTGTCCTGCCACCTGCTGCAGAAAAGTCGTCCAGGACATAGTAGCTCTTGAAATGAGGATGAAGCCTCACCCTCTGATCGTGGGGCCCACTTCGCCCTTTGTTGTTTCTTTTCTCCAGGCTCAGCGACAGCCTCACCAAGGACTCAATGAATATCAAAGCCCATATCCACATGTTGCTGGAGGTGAGAGCAGCTCACCCCACTCCCAGGCTCTGTCTCCCAACGCACTTAGGGTGGCGACCTGAGGAAGGGAGAGAGCCAGGGACCGGAAGGCCCCTCTGTCCCACCTTTGAACGGAGCCAGACTGGAGCCAGGGTGGCTCTGAGGGAGGGGAGGTCAGAGCAAGCCTGGGCCGGGGCCCCCATTCAATGTTTTCTGTCCTCTTTTCCAGGGCCTCAGAGAACTGCAAGGCCTGCAGGACATCCCTGAGGAGCCTCACCATTGACTGCCTCCCCCCTCTCCCGACATTAAAGAGTCTAAATGCCTTTTTTGAGTCACATGGCCCTTCATTTCCCCCCTACCCCCCACTGTTTGCTAAGGTGCCCTGTGTCTGAAGCACAAAGTGACTAGAGCGCGGAGATCCGGTCTGTGAGGACTCTTTGAAGCACCCCTGAAGTCCTGCCTCCAGCCTGATACCTGGCAGCATTTGCTACTAGACTTACTGCTCTGCCCTCTCTGCCGTTGTCTTGGCAACCTGGCCCTCCACCTGACCATTTTTTTTTTTTTTTAATCTTGGGCACTACTCTTTTAATTACGATAGCGAATGGGCCAATTCAGGGCGGAGGTTTGTTCCCAGGGCAATCGGCCTTTCACTCGTGGCCCCGAGGTTTTTACCCCTCTCCCACATCCTGATCATTCCTCAGGAACCTTAAATTACAACCATGCCTGGCTCGCCCTAAATTGGCCTCACGGCTGCTTCTAAATAGTTCAGTTTCCACCAGTGGGCATGGAGCCAGATCCCGCCCTCCGTGGTCCCGCCCTTCGTCTAGGTTCTGTCCAGCTTCCAATAAATACAGAGCCAAGTTCAACCCCTTTATAACTGGCTGCAACCTGGCCCTGCCCTCCTCGGCATTTAGTTTCAGCCACTCCGCTCCTTCACTCGCCTGGCAGCTGTCCTGCCCTGCCTGGGCTTCGGTCTAAATTTGTCTTTCCTAGCCAATCACTAGAGTTCCCCTGCCCGCCTAGGCAGGGCTCTGGCCCGACCCCTTTACTGCCGGCCGCTACGCCCACTGCCATATAAGTCCTGCTTCCGCTGAGCGGCGGGAGGGCAGCCCCGCCCTGTCGTTTTGGCAGCTGTCTAGGGGACCCTCGTCCCCCAATCAGCGGAAAGCGGAGCCCACGCACCCCAATCCTCGGAGGTCTTCCATCAATCCCGGACCGACCAATCCGCGAGGCCGGCGCCCCCAGAGCCTTGTCAATTACCCACGGATCTGTCCAATCAACGCGCAGCGCCTAGGGGGCTGAGAACGCCTCCTTGGGCCCCGCCCTCTGCGTTCCATCAGTTCCAATCGGACCAATCAGGTCACAGCCTGTGGAGCAGGGCCCGCCTGCCCGCGGCGGTCAATCTACGGCGCTTGGCCAATCAGCGAGCCGCGAGCCGCTCGGCTCCTCCCCGCGGGCCCACGTGAGCGGTAGGGAAGCGCAGGGGCGGCCTCTAGGTGTTGCCGCTGCCACCACCGCCGCAGCCGCTGCCGCCGCCACCGCCGCCGTCCCGGCCGCCTCGGAACCCGGGCCTGGGGGGCGGTGGGGCCGCGCATGGAGCCCCCGCCCCCCGGAGCTGCCGACACCGCCGCTGCCCTCCGCACAGGTGAGCGGGGCCTGGAGGGTGGCGGGCTGGGTCCGTGACCGCACGTCTCCTTCCCGCCCCGCGCGAGGGATGTGGCTTGGCCCGTGGCCTGCTGGTGTTCGACTCCCTCCGCCGCCACGCCTGGCGGACCTGCCCATGGCATTGCCCCCTGCTTTCGCCCCCTGTAATGTATCTGGTTGTGCCCCCCCCCCTTCCTGTTTAGTAGTGGATCGGTCTGCGCGCTTACGGTTCTCCCCACCTCACTTTCCAGTGGACTCGTCCGTGGTCCTGCGCGCCCCCCCCACACACACTCACAGGGGACCGCTCTTTGGCATCGTCCAACTGTGACAGTCGGACTTCGGAGTGGATTTCTCCTTTCCTCAACTTTCAGGGGCCCCGTCCGTGACCCCGTTGGCTCCATCCCTCCCGTTCCTGTACCCCCTCCGCTCCTCGTTAACGTTAACGTTAAACTGACCTGTGAACTTGTGTTCCTGCCGCCCCCCCCCCCCCCGCACATCTGTCCCGCAGCTCTGTCACACGCACGCGCGCACACACCATTCTCCAGCGGGTCCGTCTGAATGCTGGTATTCACATCTCCCCACTTATCAGCCTATTGCCCTGTCCTCCCTCTTCTGTAGAGGGACACTCCTTGGGCTTCTCCCTTCCCGTTAACAATGGGTCAGTGTAGTGCTTCCTATCTCCCCATAATCAGCAGCCCGATCCCTGTCCTTGTCCTCTCCTTCCAGTCAATCCCTGTGTGATGACCCCCCCCCCCATCCCCTTCACTATTGTGAAGCAGTCTATCTATAAATAAGATAAGCCTTCACACCGCCACCACCCCTCCTTGGCAATGGATCTGGTCATTAGCCTTCAGGCTACCCACGTGCCTGCCTTCACAGCCCAGTGCTTGGCAGTCCCTCCTCCAGGAGGGTCAGCCCGTGTGCTTTTTCTTTCCCTCTCCTTCCCTGAACCCCCCTCTCCTCCTTCATGGTGGATCAGCTTGTCTGCTTGTTGAACCCAAGTATTCTTTACTCTAGAACACCCACCTCATGCACACTGGTAACCATGAAGATGCTCTTCCTCGCAGTAAATGAATATCTTAGTGCTAATGCTAACAGGAGCCAACGTTTATTGAGCAGCTACTAACATCTATGAGTACCAAGCCAAGTATTGGATCTTAATGAGCTCATGTAATCCTCACCATAACCCTGCTGGATAGGTGCTGAGGAAACTTTGGCAGAGGGAGGGTCACTTACTCAAAGGTGACCCGATAAGCGCCAAGTTAGGGTACCCCTCAAGACACAGGGTACTTTTTAAAAATATATATTTTATTGATTTTTTATAGAGAGGAAGAGAGAGGGATGGAAAGTCAGAAACATCGATGAGAGAGATCATCGATCAGCTGCCTCTTGCACACCCCCCACTGGGAATGTGCCCGTAACCAAGGTACATGCCCCTGACCGGAATCGAACCTGGGATCCCCCAGTCCGCAGGCCGATGCTCTACTCTACTCACTGAGCCAAACCGGTTTTGGCAGGACACAGAGTACTTTTTGAGGCTGCCCTTTCTGCTCATCCCATCCCATGTGAGGCCCCACTCCTTAAAGAACCAACTTGTTTTTTAGTGATTTCAGAGAGGAAGGGAGAGATAGAAATATTAATGATGAAAGAATCATGGATCGGCTGCCTCCTGCACTCCCCACACTGGGGATAAAGCCCACAATCCAGGCTTGTACCCTGACTGGGAATTGAACCATGATCTCCCGGTTCATAGGTCCACGCTCAACCAATGAGCCAGGCCAGGAAGGCTCCATTAAAGAATACCTGTAAGTTAATAATGAAGCAAGTAACCCTAGCTGGTTTGGCTCAGTGGATAGAGCATTGGCCTGCAGACTGAAGGGTCCTGGGTTCGATTCTGGTCAGGGCACATGTCCAGGTTGTCGGCTCGATGCCCAGTGGGAGTCGTGTAGGAGGCAATCAATCATCATTCTCATCATTGATGTTTCTGTCTCTCTCTTCCTCCCTCTCTCAAATATATATATATATATATATATATATATATATATATATATATATAATAATGAAGCAAGTAACTTCTCTGGCCTAACCTCCTACACTCCCAACTATGTTCCAGCCGCACTGACCTCCTCACTTTACAGTGGTCCTGCCTCAGGGCCTTACATTGGCCATTTTTTCCTGCCCGGAACATTTTATCCCCTGGTCATGGTTCCCTTTGGGACGCTGTTCAATGTCACTTCATCCCTGACCATCTGAGCCCTCACACCCAGCGGGCTGAGGCCCCTCCTCTGCTTTACGTCTCCCTTTGCCCTTTATCGCTGTGGATCACGCCGTTTAGTTGACCAGTTTGTCGTGTTGTCTCTCCCCATGAGAAGTCCCAGGAAGGCTTACAGGTTTGTCTGCTTAGTCCTGCTGGGTCTCCAGCACCTAAAAACATCCCTCGTGTACAGGAGGTGCTTAATACAAATTTGTTGCACGAATGAGTGGGGAAATATAATTTCAGACAGATCAGGGCGGGAGCAGATGGGAATGAAGAGGGCATTGAGAACTAGTTAAGAGGCTAGTTAGCTGGGACTGTTCATTCATCAAACACTTGACTGAGCACCTAGTAAGGACCAGGCACTCTCCTAGGGCCTGGGGGTGTGGGAGGGGAAAATAGGCAGAAATTCCAGCTCTTGGGGAGCATACGTTTGTTAAAAGTGGAGGAGACAGACTACATAAATAAAACAAGTAAAAATAGATAGTATTTTAGACAAGTGTTGAGGAAGAAGAATGAAATAGGGAAGGTAGGAATAGAGTATTAGGGGGTTAAACATGTCAGGCCTTCGTTTCGAAGGTGGCTCTTGAATTCAGGCCTGAAGGAGGTCGGAGAGGGAGGGAGCCATAATGTCTAGCAGAAGAGTCCGCTGGACAGAAGGCATGGCCGATGCAAAGGCCCCGAGCCGGGATGGCACCTGGCATGTCCAAGGCCCCCAGCGGAGGCCAGTGCAGCCGGAGCGGAGCTGAGAGAGCGATTGGAGGCGAGATGTGAGCTGTAAGGGGAGCCAGGTGGTAAATAGGTCACAGTGATACACAAGGCTGGGGTGGGGGGGTTTGGGGAGGGAGCAGGATGGCACGCTAGCCAACAGCTACCACTTCTTGAGTGTCTCCCATGTGCCAGCGATACTTTTCTAAGCCCTTTACATGTACCACCATCTAATCTCCACAAAAGCCTTTGAGAGGAGGTGTATTTTGAGGATAATGTACTCTGTGAACCAAACGTCCCCATTTTCCAGCTGCCGAAACAGACTCAGAGAGGTTGAGTAACTAACTCAGGGTCACACAGCTAGAACAGGGCCAAGGAGTATGAGGCTGAAGACCCAGAGAGGAACCGCTTTGTGCTAGGGCAGACAGGTTATTCGGTGCATTGGATCACAAAAGGAAGGATTCGTTCTGCCCTGAAGATACTGGAACTTAAGGATTGTGTGGCAAAGGCTTCATCATAGGGAAGGGAGAAGAGTGCGGACGTATCCTCAGACATGGGAACTGGGCGAACTCGCAGGGCGTTCCTGATGTCGTGTGCCACGCGTGTGCCCCCCTCAGAGCCTTCGTACATGCTGTTCCCTCTGCCCATCCTTCCAGGTGGTCAGGCCACAAACTTAGAGCCTCCTTTGGTTCCTCTCCCCACATCTGGCATGTCAGGACACCCCACTGCTGCCACAGCATTCTCACCTAACACCATTGCAGTTCCCTCTTCAGCCACTAGTCTGTTCTCACGAGAGCCAGCCGGATCCTGTTCACAGCATCCCTGTCACAGCCCTCTCATGGCTCTCGTCTCGCGCAGAGTCAAAGTCCTTACAGGGCCCGAAAAAGGCTCCCTCGGTCTGGCCCCCGTTACCCCTCTGTCCTCTCCTACTGTCCCCTAACGGCCTCCCGTCCAGCCATGCCAGACTCTTCTGTTCCTCCAGCCTCAGGCTGTTTCCTCCGCCTGCAGAACTGCTCCCCGAGTCATCAAACCTGACTCCTTCACCTCTTTTAGGTCTTTGCTCAAATGCCACCTCCTCAGCGATGACCTTTCCCTGACTAGCCTTTAAAAAAATAACACCTTCCCCGGTTCGTTGTTTCCCCTGTGGCTGTTATCATCTGACATTCTTTCCTTGTTGATCTTGTCTCTTGCCTGTCTGCCCCGCGGAAATGTCACTTTCACTAGCGCACCGGGCCTACAGCAGGCACTCAGTAAATGATGGCTGAGCCCTGGC